GATATGGTTGGATGTCGCGCCGGACCGGGGGCATGTAGTCAAGGACCAGTTGGTCGTCGCCCAGGAGTCGATTGATCAGGTCGTGTGGCACGCCGATCCGCACCAATGCAGCCCGGTCCATGTTGCGGAATGTCGCCAAGTCGTCTATTCCGGCTAGGGCAACGAGCGGGGCGATCGCCAGCAAGGACCGCTGGTGTAGCCATGCTCGAATGTCACGGAACGTCATCTCGGGGTGATCTGTATCAAGGGCCGAGAGGGGCCAAAAATGGCTATGTAAAATGTATCAAAGGTTTGCCACACGTGGAGACAAAAGCACAATGCAAACAATCAAGGTGAGCAAAAGTTCGGGGGGATTTAGGGGTGTTTGGCTTCAAACACATGGTGCGCCTTTTGCTCTTTGCACGGGTGTCCTGACGTACTGCCAAACGAGGTTGCACTTCGGCGGCAGGTTCAGGAAGATGGGTCGTGCGAAGGCAACCGCGTTGGTCGGACCCTCCGGGCTCGCGCGGGACACGGACGCCCTTCGGGTCGTAGTGGTTGCGGTGCTGGTCGAGGTCCGTCACAGGGCGCTCAAGTGGTTGAGACGGTCCGCCCCCTCGAGGTCTTGGCAGGTCCAGAGCTTGAGGCGGCAAAAGCACAGCCCCATCACTCTGGCGAGGTCCGAGGACTCAAGGATGCGGGTGGAACTGGGGTCGTAGCGATAGCGCCGCATGTCGTAGAAGGGCGTGGCGGGTTGGTGGCGTTGTCGCTTCTGGCTGGGGAGCAGGTCGACTCGGAGTGGCTTGATGCGTCCCAGGTTGCGCTGGGCGACTTGCTCCAGCTTCTCTTGGGTCCAGAAGGTCCTGTGCATGTATGGCAGTTTCTGAGCCGTCTGCATGTTGTTCATGATCATGTCGGCCAGATAGGCGCGGGGGTCCTTGGCTTGTCGCAGGTCGGATGCGATCTCGTTGATGTGGACCTTCATCTGTTGGATGAGCTTGCCGGTCGTGTCCTCCTCCCAGCGAAGAAGGTAGAGCATGTAGCGCCGGTCGTCGTCGCCGGTGATGGCCTCTGCCAATTGGTCCGTCTCGTGTGCTCCAGCGGTGGCGCGTACCACGAGGCACTTCTGGGCCGGCACGAAGCGTTCTGTGTCGTCTTGGCCGGCTGCGGTCAGGGCCTCCCCTCGGGATGCGGCTTTGGCGTCACTGTAGGTTTTCCAGGGGTGGTATTGCTGGAGGCACTCGGGACAGAAGAACTGGCCGTGCTCGGTGATGTTGGCGGTGGCGCGCAGCCAATGTGACGAATGTACCACCGCTTTGCACGACTGACGTCGGCAGATAAAGTGCTCGTCGGTGGACGGGAGGACGCGGGTGATGAAATCGGTGAGGTGTGTGGGATAGTCGTCAGAGTCCAAGAACTCAAGGAGGGTCCCGGTGCTGTTTGCGCGCAATGCCTCGGTGAGGTGCTGCCTCTCCCATTTGTGGAACATGAGGAATAGGTCTCGTCGGTCCTCGGGTGCCAGGTTGATGAGGTCGAGGCACATGGTTTCGGCGAGGAACTTGGAGTGGTCGCTGATGAGGCGGCGCAGGTGGTTGTTGGAGGTTCCGGGGTGGATCTCGCGCAAGGAGTCCATCATGTCCATGTGGGTGTTCGTGCGGATGGTGCCGACGGCCTTGTTGGTCATGTAGTCCAAGCGGCGTCGCCATGCTCGTCGGCACAGCTTGCTGAACACCTCGAGGGTGAATGGCCGGCGGTTCTTCACGTCGAGGGCTGGTACCCTGATCCAGCGGCGGTTGACCTGGTCCCACCTGTGCACGGTGATGTAGGCGTCGTGAGCGTCGTCCGTCTCTGGCACCGCAATCTGTAAGGTCGGTGGGGCGATGGTATGGTCGCTGATCATGGCCGCGAGGTCGGGGTGCTCTGCGATGGTGTTGTACGGTGCGTGTTCTGCAATCAGGGAGTTCGGGTCGGCCAGGAGCTCCTCGAACTGGAACCACGGCACGCTACTGGTGTCGCAGGTAGCGCACCCGTAGCACGCCCCGACCCACTTGTTTCGCCAGTCGGTTTCCTCTGAGAAGCAGAGGGGCATGATGTACTGGGATTGGTATGGGATCTGGCAGAACGAGCACTGCAGTGTGGCTGGTGTTGGATTCAGGTTGTGCCAGTCCAGCAGCAGGTAGCGTGTCCGCGTGTCCGGCTCGGTGTTGGTCGACTCCATGAAGAGGTCGATCGCGTCCGTGGTGGAGAGGCGGGGATTCTCGGTGCGGAAGGTCTGGAACCTCGAGAGGACGCCGGTGTTGTAGGACCGCAGGAGGAGCTCGCAGACTGCGTCGGTCTCGCGAAGTGCCATGTTGTGCGAAGGGGGTGCGATATCGGATACACAAAACCAGCCTGAAAATTCCTTCGGAATTGGAGGTGGCGCTTGCCGAACTCACGCAGGAGTCGGTAGTGTGCCGGGTGTGAGTCAAAGGGGGGGGGGGTTGGTCGGGCCAGGGGGGTGTGTCTAGGTGACTCGGGTCCAAGGATGGCCCGTTGATGGGGGGGATCTGTACGACGCGCCACACCGGCACAAACGTCGTGTTAGATGACACGCCACACCGGCACAAATGTCATCCCGAGGGGTGGAGCTGTCCCGTAGGACCAACTCCCTGCGGTGTGAAGGTGACCGGGGTCGGCCAGTTTGTCATCAGGGATCCGACCCGAAGAAACCGAGGGTAATCCACAGGGGATCCGAAGTGGGGTGAAAGACCGGTCGGGTTCGGGGCAGGCGAGTGGGGATTGGTCACCGCAGTATGGGCCTCAGCAGTGGGTCGGTTTGTCAAGGGGTATCCTCTCGAATCAAACAGGGGGGACGAAGAGGGTCGACCCGGGCTCGAGGCTCTCAGCGCTTTTGCGCGGTCCGAAGATGGATCTCTCTTCGGGAAAAGGGGGCCTCAGGCGGTCGCCTAGGCATGGGTGTCACCTGTGCGGTATGAGGGTCATCGCCCTATTGCTGGCCCACCATCGCACGGGACATGGACTTGGTGGGTCAACTTAGGGTGGCGGGTTTGGAGACTCCTCGGTGCCGCCTGGTCAGTAGCGGGAGTCCTGGCTCTGCTCAGTCTTAGAGCTCCCGGTTGAAGCGCAGGTGTCCGTCGGGGCCGAGCAGGATGCCCTCGATGGTCGCCATGGTGCGTTGTTCGGGGGTCAGGAAATTGGAAATTGTCTCAATGATGGTCTCCCCGAAGGTGATTGCCATGTTGTCCACAAAAGGGTCTCGCCGGGAGGCGCGACAGAGCTGCCTCCCGAAGGTAAGCCAGGAACAGGTCAGTTGTTGTAGCATGTGCTGCCGGTTGGCGCTGTTGAGCAGCTGGAGTTGTTGGTGAACGTGTTGCTGGATAATCCAGCGCAGCAGGCTCCTGAGAGGTGTGACCTGCGTAGTTGGTTCCACGGGTACAAGAAAAAGGCCCCCGAAGTCATTGCCGTACACATTGGTGGGGGTGCGCGAGAAGATGCCGTAGTTGGTCAGGTGCCATTGCAAGCCGATGTGGTCGAGGACGGAGGGGAATTCCGGTAGCAGTTCCGGATTGATCAGGAAGGTGGCATCTTCGTGTACCCGCGCGCGGATGTGTCCGGCCCGCTGGGTTGACAGCAGGCCTTGTGTGCTGTCGTCACGGTCGATGCCTGGCGGCTGGAGCCACTGGACTAAGTCGTGATGTTGGTTGGATGGTGTGGGGGGTGCCGCCTTGGATGGTGTGGTGGGTTGCGGGCGTGGTGAAGGCGTGTGGTGCGGGACGGGCCCGGTCGATGTGGTGGTCGCCTCCGGGAATCGGGCCTGTCTGGGAGTGTCGCGAGCCGTGGGTGTCGCGAAGTTGACGGTCCGCGGTGGTGTCATAGCTCGGGAGTATCCCGGTTGTGTGGAGCGGCCTCGCTGCTGTCGGGGGGTGTTGTTCCGTTGGCGAGACGGGTTCAATGTGCTTGGCGGGCCACGTGGTACCGCGTATGGCATCTGGTAGGTGCACGGATCGGGGTACCGAACGTTCATGTGGTGAATGGGCGTGTTCCACTCGCCGTGAAGGTGGTCGCGGAGGATTTCAAAGGCCTCCCGCCTGGACACGAAGCGCCATTCACGGTGGGCTGTGTCATAGTGGATGCCCACGCCGGTGTTGGGTCTGGCATGGTGCACGAAGCGCAGCCAGGCAAGAAGGTCACCATGCAGGACTGAGTCGCTGTGAACATGGCGGCATTCGGCACCACTGTCGCAAAAGCCTTCTGGATGCCGGGCCTGTTGTCGAAGATGTCGGTAACAGATGTTGTCTCGCGGCATCCAACGCGCATCAACGAACTCCGGATGCAAAAAGGCGCACTGGTGGGCAGAGGCAGGTGCACGTCCCCTGCAGCCGGAATGGTTGATGAACTGGTTGCAGACCTGATTGCCCTGCAAGATGTTGCCCGGACCGACCGCCTCGGGCAGGATCGAAAGATGGTCCTGAAGGGCCCGGTACAGTCGTTCATAATCCGGGTCGAGCTCGGTCATTTCCATGAGCTGGTACTCCTCCACGATGGATGCGAAATTCGCTGGAGCAGTCATGGCGGTCGAGCAGGCAGGGCAGGTAGGTCGGAAAGAAAAGAAAAATTTGGCTAATTCGCCAAAATGGCGAACGGAGCATGAATCAAGCAGTGTCATCCTGCAGGCACTCAAGGTTCGAATCTGAGTGTGATTCAAATGCCTTCCGCTATCGGTTGTTACTTTTAACACAAGTGTTAACCGCTACAAACAAACGAGGACTGCTTGCGTCAGGGCTCATCGCAAGAAGCGCCCCCAACGATTCTCCGGGCCAAATGCCACCACACGAACGATATTGTTGTCGCTACGCCTCGGTGGCCAAATCTCCACCGGCACACGGCCCCCGCACCCTCCGTCACAGCGCAGCGGCGTGTACACCGTATTCCACCGATCTCCCTCGCGGTCAGACAACGAAACTGGAACCCAACCCCAGCAAGTGTTTTGCAAACATCAAAAAGAAAAAAGTACTTCGTGCCTGCAGCGTCACCCTCTGGCCATTCAGATCCTGGTGGCTCTGCAGGCCCTGCAGGCTCGCCGCCTGCCCAACCTTCATGCCATGGGAAAAGCTCCCACGCCCGGGCGACAAATCATCGGCTTCTGGGTCGGCTTGCGTCAGGGTGCTAAGGGGTCAAGGGATGGTAGTATGCTTCTCACAGGTGATCGCCAGGGCTCAAGGGCACGAGGCACGTGCTGGCTACAGGGCCGATATAAGGCCGGCAAAGCTTGGTTTGGCCAACAGCTCTGTCAGCAGCATGTTCAGTCACACTCGCTCTGCGACGATTGGGATGGAACTGCGGTTCGCGAAAGCAAAACTGCTCGCACCAGTGCTGGGGTGGATGATCATGGTGATAGTAATGATGATAATAATGATAATAATGATAATAATGATAATAATGATAATAATGATAATGATACTGATAATGATAATAATAATGATGATGATGATGACAGTCCTGAGGCAGACCACTAATACGGCTCTTGTATCACCAACTGATTGCACAAAACATGCACATCTTGAACCGATCGCTGCGTTGAGCGGCTTTGGCGAGAGGCAAACGGGCCACGTGGCTGCGCACAGCCCTGTCTTCTGAGTCACCTCCCCACATGGCCTCAGTTTCTCCGGGCGCCTTGGAATCCCTTGGGGGCCAGGTTGGTCAAGTTGCATCAGAAGCAAGCGTGTCCGTTGTGCCTGGCAACAAAAGAGGCTTCGTTGAAGTCGGATTGCAATCCAAGGGCTCAAAACTTGGACTGCCAACAGCCTCTCGACCCGGACTTCAGATTCAGGACGAGCCTTGGGCAAGAGGTTGGGAACCCTTTTCTTGATGCATCAAGGAAACACAAAAGGAGCCACCTTCAGACAACAGTTCGGACACCCTGCCCTATTGTCATGGATCCTACTCCTTCCTGAGGTGCGGCATTGCTCGCTTCGATGCGCGGCCTTCAGTCTACGAGAAGAAGAAAAAAAGCGCCCTCCTGCATTTGCATCTCTGCGTGTGCTACAGCACTCCCCGTTACCAGCGTGAACTTTGGAGAGCCCGCAGAAATGGGCGTGCTTCAACCAAGAAATTGCGGAAACCTCCTCGGCACCATCCGGGTGCCGGACCCATGCTCTCATGCAGGTTTGGGTAGTGGGGCACCGGCCCGTGCAGCTCCAACATGGGCTGGCCGCTGCCGGTTTGAAGGCGCATGGCATCGTACAACCCACCCACCCTTGTTTGCTGGTTGAGTTCAAAGGGAAAGCCAATCGAATGCAAGAACTGAGCTGGTCAAGATGGAGCTTGGCCAATCCTGGTCCATTCTCCGTATAAATTGCCAACTGATACGCAGGGAAGCCCTTGCACACCGAAAGGAATGGCCGAGAATTGCCTTTGAGCAGCCCAAAAAAAAGGTTCAGAACGATCCTCCACTGTGCACAACATGGAAGCCGTCCATCCAAGGGAACCAGAAGACCCACACCAAAAGCTGCCAAGGGAAACTGCATCACTTGTAATGCTGCTGTGGTTACCCCATTTGCCCCTCGCTCGCCTAGCTTAACTTGCATCAAGCTAGTGCCTCGGAAGTGAGGCCTCCTCTACGTCAGGTCGCGAGGCCAGTGCGTGAGATGCTATGCAAATCAAAGCCGATCTTGGCACAGGCGGAAGAGATACTTTCTTGGCAACGGCCAAGCCTAAAGCAAGGGCTCACCCCGCTCTGAGCGACAAAAAAAGAGCCATCCTGCACAAAGCAACTCTCTGGGAATTGAACGCCTCACAAAGCATGCCCAAACAGAAATCGGCTCCCCAGGATTCTCGAAAACTCCTCGTAAGCTACAGGAGGGCAATTTGCAATGAGAGGCCTCTCCTTCTTTACCCAGGGCATCCCAGAACCCGCGTCGCGGCTTTCTGCGCAATCAGAAAGACGCCTTCTTGGCGTGTCGGGTCGAGGGCCCGGGACTTGAAAATCGGGATCTCAGGCTCGGGATGCGGAACCCGGGAACCCGCGAAGCCGCGGTTGCTGCATATGGGGGACAACGCGAAATCAACTCAGCACTCCATATCCTCCATATCACCGTCATGTTCAACTTGCCGGGGTGCATTCCCACTTTCCCTTCTGAGCACTAGCAAGGATAAGCACTCTCAGCTCTCTCTTTTTCCTTTGGGCTCCAGGCTGCCCATCTCCCGAGCATCCCAACCTCTTGCCAAATTCCTTCCTTGGAAGGCTTTGAGTGCAATGAGCAAGCTGTAGCGGCTTGGCCGTACAAATTAAACCTGGAACTGTGCGGTCATCGTCTCAGGGGTCCATCAAATCAGTGTGCCGCCTGCTGGAACCCCAGGGAGACTCCTCCAATTCTGGCTGTGGCCATGTTGGTCTGCGGGGTAACCTCTAGATCTTGTGCTGAAACCAAAAACGAAGCCTGAGGAAGCTGAGTAGCTGAGTTGCTTTGCATGGACCACCATGCCGGGCACTAGTTGGGATGGATGAAACCCTACTGGGATAAACCACAGGCGAGACGCATGTGTGTCCTTCTTGTTGTTGGCTTGGAGTCTGGCCCGAAAAGCGAGGCGCGGAACCCTGGCCTGCCAAAAATTGCGAAGTGAATGCCCTCTGCGCCAGAGAGCCGAGAAAGCGGAACAACATGTACCAAGCATCTTGCTGAAGGCTTGCAAGATTCCCCCCCCCCCCCACGCCCCATACTTGCATCTTGCCTCCCAACATGAGCCAACAACTGGGTGAACATCGCTGTCCCTTCCTGCTGGTTCTAGCTCCTTCATTGCATCCGCCACTTCAGCTTCGGCCTTCCCATGGTCCCGATGAAAGGTGGAAACGAGCAAGTATGCCATCAACTTGCACCTACCCGCCTGGATACCAAAACTCTTCCCATGACGTTGGGCTCCGGTTTGGACACTGGAGTCATTGACCAAGCCTTGCGATAGGCCTTCTGGGGTTCGCCAACTCAAGCGACACATTTGGGGCCCTTCCGTGGGCCATGCCCTCGGAGACGCAAGGACGGCGCCCTTTCGATCTGAAAGGAAAAACTGGGCACCAATTGGCACCAATTAGCACCCTCCGGCGCCAGACCTGATCTCAAAAAACTGGGGACACCACTCAAACGAGTCAGCTCTAACCATTCTGTCTGTGTCCCCAGTGAGACTTGCAAGCCCTGCCCTGTCAGCCAGCCTTTCGCTGGACCTGGCAGTCAGACCGTGGACTTGAACAACATTTGGCCTCAAACCTGCAGTGGGGGCCACAAACCAAAGAAACCCATGCACGCCCCTAAGGATTGGAGAGCTACCACCTCGAGGCACCCCCCTTTTTGGCAGGATGCCGAACGCAACCGAGGAAATGGATCCGTCACAGGATCCGAATTTCTCTCTTTGAGCCACCCCTATGAAAACCCGTCTCTGATGATTAAGTAAGCCAGGGGCGATTTCTGGAAAAGGTTGCATATCACTCTAAGCTTGGTGGAGGGGCCCGTTCCCACTCCCAACGTATCTGCACTGACACCAGATGTTGCCTTCTGCAGCTTGCGCAGCACCTCCGCGATCTTCGTGTCCAAGGCGCGGAGCTCAGTACGCACGGTGAGGAGGTCGATGGAGCGCGCCTGCCGCTTTTCTCTCGCTAGTGCGATGGCTAGGGAAGGTAGGAATGAACCTAGGGGTCCCCCTATGCTCCACTTAAAGAAAACCAGAAGGGATGGTTTTTATGGTGGTCAGCACCAGAAAGGATTTGCGGGCCTTGCTTCCGTGGGCAAATCAAACCAATTTATTCCTCGGCCACGAGCTCGCCAGAACAAATCCCTCGCCACAGCTGCGGCGCCAAACGACGCCGGCAGCCCCTAAACATCACCCTTTAGTCTGAAGGAATCGGCCACAAGAAAGAAACGTGTCGATAGCAACAAGCTTCAGCGCACCTACATCGACAGCCCTGACAACCCTCACAGAGCACTACTTGCTGGCTTTTGGGAAAGGCGACCATGCCCTGGCGCCTGCCCTTTGCAGCGCATGATGCCATCAATGAACTCGTCCAGAGTGAGCTGCGTGCAGGCAACTGGATCTAGGGTATGTGAGGTTTGCTCTGTCTCTCTCTCTCTCTCTCTCTCCCTCTCTTTCCAGCCACATGGAATGTTCTGGCTAAGTTTGTTCATGTCTGCTTGGACGGGTCCCGGCCTCTTTGTGTCGTTTCAGGCGCCAACCACAAGGACTGAAGTGTTTGTGTTTGTCTACTGCACGCACGGGATGTCCCAGCAAATACGGGGTGGGTTTGTAACCGGTCTTCGCCGACCCAAGGACACGCTTGGCGATTGTTCATGAGTTGGCTTGTCACTGGCACCCGCGTCCCTCGCCTTTTCCTGATCACGTGCTTGCGTCAAACAGTTCACGTGGCGCCGAGCACATATATGTGGGCACAGTCGGCAGGCGTGCCCCGCGCTGGCAGCAGAAAAGCCTAAGCAAAAACAATAGAGGGAAACAAGCACGAGGGGGTCAAAAGGCCAGCCTTGGTGTGACAAACAACAAACCTGTGCCCTGCACCACCCCCGGGAGAGCATCCCGCCTCACCATCACCATTGTCGATGATGTGGAACAACGCCTTGCTCCTTAGGACGCCATGTTCGAGGCAAGCGGGCGAAACTGACATCAGCGGCGATAGTCAACACACGCGGTCAAAGTGCAAAAGCACACCACTGCATGGCACGCTGCGCATCACATATCCATCAAAGCAAACCGTCACAGAAACAGTCCATCCAACCGACTTGTCCAACCCCCCCCCCCTCCGACCTAGGTTGCGCGAAGGCGAAAACTGCCAAATCAAAAGTCTCTTCTCAAACCACCCTGCTCTTTCGACCCAGGAGTGTTTCAGCTGGGCTGGCCTTGACTTTTGAAAGCCCCAAGCCTTGCTTCGCCGACCTTGTCCTCAGCCAAGGCCGGCAGCCCCAGCCAGCATTGCGTTTTGGCTGAAGCTCGCCCGGCGGTAAATTCTCCGGCTCTCGTTCCAGCCATTTTAAGTCATGTGGAAACGCACGAACATGCACCCACCGTAAACTTGGAAACCAGCTCACAACACAGTACGGCAAAGCCAACCACAAGAATACTGGCCAAGGCGGGCAGCGCGAAGCGTTTACAATTACAACTTCTCCGCTTGGCCACACGTTGCTTGCCACAATCCAAAATGTCCGCAAAGTTTGTTCAAACCGTCTCCACATCTCACTGTCCTAAACAAGTCCTTGCAAGAGGGCTAATGGGAACACGAACAGCGCCCGATATCCAAGCAACCCGCAGCTTCGCACGCCTCTACAATGACCACCACTTCCAAATGCTGAGACACGCACGATCCCATGATATGCCTTTCTATGTGGTGATGCACCACAGGGCAGGTGCCAACGAGCTGCAAAGCGAGCCAAGGTCATCGCCCATGTTCGATGCTTTCAAAATCTACAACCCAGCACCACAAAATCTAAAACTCAACCAAGGCACTCTTGCACGTCTACGTCCAGCGTCTGAAAGTAGGCGGCAACCTTCGGGTGGGACAGCATATCTGAAAGCCTGTCCTCTGTGATCATGCCGTCGCCGGACCGGTCGATGGCGCGGAATACTCCCGCGAGCTTTTGGACATACTCGTCTTTCTTCCGCAATCTCTCCTGACGGCGGTTTGAACCAAAAAGAGCCTAGTAACACATTTCAGGCTGCATAAAGTTGCATTGCAAATATGGAAGGCCAAGTGTTGGGGGCAAAAGTGGCACAGCCAGCACAGGCGAATCCGTGAAACAAGACGCAAGCACACGTGATGTCTACTTGTAAGCGTACACACTTACTGCCGTGGGCAACAGTGCATATTGACTCTTGACCATGCGCTGTCTGTGAACCAAAAAAAAGCCAAGGAAGCACACACAAAGCTACCAAGCATGCAAGGCAGGTCCGCAGCCAGAGCGCACCAGACACACTCCCAACAAACGAAGAGCTTGGGCTAAACTTTGGTTGGGACTGAAGAAGGCAGCCTGTAGGCCTTCCGAGCTGCTACCACCAGGTTCTCCGCATCGCTCTGCGCTGCATCAAGCGTATCTTTCAGAAAAATCGCCGAGATCACACGGATGATCGCCTCGAAGCAACAGCGCCGGCCGCTCACAACATGGCTTCTGATTCTTTCGGGGCCTGAGAGCTCAAGGGGCTGTTCAACATGACAGCTTCGACGCTGCTCATACCTTTTCGGGACTGATGACACGCCTAAGCGAATTACAGCCAGGACAACAAAAACATTTTGACAGGCACAAGACTGCTTGGCAGGAAGGCAACCACTGCAGCCAAGGAACAAAAACGACGATGGTGATGTAGACCAAGAAAAACAGCACGTAGCTGTGGCTGACCTTGGTCAGAACTGGCCGTACATTGGTAGGCCAGCTGCCTGACAGCGTGATCTCATACAGGGTGTACATTGCCCGGTAGGTCGTGCCATAACCTCAGGTGCGGCCGATTGCCCACAGCACGGCTGTCTAGCAGACCTGCCATGAATGTTCCATGAGCGCATAGTATTAGAGAAATCTGGGTTTTCCGGCCAAGGTTGGAAAAGCAGCTCTTTTTGCAGGGAAGGATTAAGAAAGGGAAAGGACTGCGGGCTGGCATGCCTTCCCAGCTCATCAACTCCGTAAGCGCCTGGGGGGTCCTGAAGCTTGGACGAACGATCAACGAATTGGGAAATCTCAGGCTCAGGGGCAGAGAATCAGCGTGTTGAGGGCCAAGAAGATATGGCGCTCATTGCATGGAAACTGACGGAATCTGGGTGCCAAGCCTCCATGCGGGCATCAAGTACCCTCTCGTCTCTGTGCTTGTTTTTCTTGCGTTGTTCATTTGCCTGCCGTCATTTTTGTTCTTGTTGGTCGGGGTTCTTGCCGTGTTGTGCTTGGTGCGTTGTTTGTTCCTGGGTTGTTCTTTGTTTTTGCTCTTTCGCCTCGCTCTGTCGACTGGCCTGGCGTGTGTAAATGTTGAGCTAACACACGGCAGTGTGCTGCAGCGGCGAACTGGCACCAGGCCCTGCTTGATGAGTCCTAAACCTCTCCTTGGAGCCCTTGGCATCTTTTGTTTCTCTTGTGCGCGTTGGGCGTGGAGCCATCAACCTGCGGCAGCTCCAGCCCGGCTCTGTCACGATCGGGGTTCGGCTCTCTTGTCCAATGTGGCCTGCACCGAAGGATGTTGGGGTTCAACTTTGCTTGCCGGGCCTCGCCTGGATGCACGGAGGTTGTCGCTCCGGATGAGTGGACTGCCGGGATTTCTTGTGCTGGCTTCGTCGCGGCAAACGACCAACAGCTACGACACCATCATGCACGTCATGTCTTTTTTGGTTGGCTCAAAGGTCACGCCAACAGCCAGTCACCAGTGGGGGGGTTGGCCCACTGCAAAATATCGGACTCTGCGCAGAAGCTCCGGCGCGGAGGCGGCGGGTGGCTCCCTCTCAGCATCTCCCAGGAGGGAGGTGGGTCTGTCGGCCGACCGCCGGGTCACATTTCCTGTGCCACAGTTGCGGCTGCTTGCGCCGTGCAATCGCTGGGTTTTCTAGTCCTGGCAGGCTCTCGTAACCTTCATGGAACTTGGAGGCCGGAGTTCGGAGCCTCAAAAGGCGACCTTAGCGCAATAGATCCGACCACCCGAACATGTCTGGTGGAGCCTCTGTGTTTTGTGAACTGCGCTGGGCCGTTCTGCTTGTTCTCGTGTTTCCCAAGAAATTGCCCTGAAACGCAACTCACTGGATCATGGCGAGTGTGAACGGCGTGCTGCTTGGCTAGCAAATCTACGGTTTGCCGCACTGACCTCCACCCACATAGCCCCGTGCATGACCAGGACCGGCCCAAATACTTCGCGTAGTCTCATCAGAAGCAAGCACATGCATCCCATTGCCAGCGAAGCAGCGACCCGTGCATTGGTGAACCGCTTTTTGCCGGTGCCAAAACCCCAAGGTTGCCCCAACGCTCCAGTCATCATCAACTCTGTTGTAAAAGCCAAAGTCTCGAGAAACAGTTTTAGCTCGAGGTGAACTTCTTTACTTCTGTTCGGTGTTCCGTTTCATGTCGCGGCTCAGCATTCGATCCACTCCCTCTGCCGGATTGCTTCACCTCAAGTGAGGCATGGTGTCTACACCTCTGAGGTGAGATCCCCCGCAGGCAACGAAACAACCAATTAGTAAAAGTAAAACAACCAAAGAACCAACCACCCAAGCAAAGCAAGCAAAGCAAGCAAGGCAAGCAAGGCAAGCAAGGCAAGCAAGGCAAGCAAGGCAAGCAAGCAACCATTGACCTTGCAGATGTGCCTTTTCCAACGCGTGCTTCTTCTCGTGGGAGCGCCTTCAACCTCTGCTACAGACAAAGCCTTCGCTTGAGTGCAAACAAGCTTGCGACGTCGGAAAGCAGGACACCACAGGAAACTCAATCATACAACGCACAGTCGTAGATGGCAATCAAGGCGCGAACCCGGCAAGTAGTCAGTGAACCGGGACAAGGCCTCCAATGACAAATTGATTTGTGAACCCGGACTGGTGGCCAGAACTGTCAGCACCAGGCTCAGGCAACACAGGCGACGCACAAAGAGACGCGCTGTGCGAGCGCGTCCGCTTACGCGGCTCCGCGGCTCGCACCGCGCAGGTCCCTGGCAGCGCCAGCTGCGACCCTTGCAGATCCTTGCAGCCCAAACGGAACAGCGAAGTCCCAGGCCGCTCCTCCCGGCCACGGAGTAGACTTCCGCCGGACAGCGCCCAATGGCGTCATCGACAGTCATCCGGGCAGGAGACCAGCCTTCGGATTCCCTGGCTGGCATCCGGCTCGCTTGGCAATCCGGAAGACCAGGTCCCGCGCAGCGTTGCGCAAGCTCCTTTCAAACCCGCTTGCGTGCCCCAGCCGCCTGTGAAAATCTGCGCTTGCGCCGAACTGAGCGTTGCGTACCAGAATGTCCACCCCTGAGTGCCGATACGCCATGGGTGAAGCCATGCAACACCTAGTGCAAAGGTGATACTTACCAACCCATTGTGTCTGTTGAACCCCGAAACTGGTCGTGAACTCAACGAAGCATGAGCTTGAAACGTCAAAACCCATCGCAGTCACCGCCAGCCGAAGGGCGATCCCAGATGAAGAGCCGGTCTTCCATCGGCTTGCCCTCGTCAGCGCTGAAGTCCTTGAGCTTGACATAAAAGACCAAGGTGATGCTTTGGACCCAGATCACCCAGTGGCACCAGTTGCATTGGACTCGTCAGGTTTGCGGAACCCGCGATGGTAACAAAAGGATGGAGCGGAGCAGTGCCCCCCCCATGTAAACTTGAACAAGCATGGCTCGATGCTGTACCGGTCAGTTTTTGGCTGCCTATTCGCCCAGAGAAAGCCGGGCCCAGGTACCTGCAACTCTCCCAGTCACAGTGTGAATATTCAGTGGGGTTGGCTGGTTGACCTGTCTCATGGGGCAGATTCATTCGCGACCGTCAATCGGCCTGGCGGAACGCTCTGGAAGACCCTATGCTTCTGGACATGTTTCCCATAGGAGCCAGGGCCACCTAAACATTTGGATGCCCCTCGGCTGAATTCACGAGCCGCGGGGCCAGTAAGAGGTTCCCGAGGATCAGCGCTCCCACGGACATGAAGACCCCAAGAAGCACCATGGCCCAGCAAAGCGACGGCAGGAAGCACTGGCACGCCTGCACCAAGAGCCGCAGGCCCCGCACAAAGCCTCGGAAGACGGCACACCAGTTTCGCAGCAAGGCGGCCACAAAACCGGCTCGCGTGGTTGCTATTGAGAGGGCCGAGGGAAGATGCTGGCGCTTGAAAAAAAAAACCGTTGTTTTGACCGCCCCGTTCGGCCTCAAGAGATGCAAATGCTACCCATGTCCAGCTCCCGCCCAGGCCTTCCCGACCGAGCTGCGGAAGCTCCGCAGGAGCCGAAGCGCACGCATGGACTTGAGGGCGCGCACCACTCGCATGGTAGATGAGGGGCCCTGCCTCCGATGCGCCATTAACCTCGCGTCCAGTCCCTAGCCCCCACGCTAGGGATGGTGGTGCAATCCATGGCCCGCACCATCTAAACCGTGGTTTTCCAGGGGGTCAAAGTGGATGTGAGATCCCCGTCCATCCACAGTATGTCGATGTTGTGAGATCCAAACTGTCTTGCATGTCTCGGGGAGGGCTAAGAAGCAACATCTCGAGCCAAGATTTAATGACCACACTGGCTTCAAAACGCCTCAACCCAACCAGTGCCATGTAGTCAGTCACAACTGACTTCTTGCTTATCCTCAATCTGCTGGCGTACTTGCCCTGTCAAAACTGCCATGGGGTAACCCTGTTGCATCTTGCTACGCAGCCATATCAGAAAGTTGTGAACTCTGCAGCAGTGGGCAAGGTGCCAAAATATGCAACAAATATGAAAACACAAAACAGGACTGTTTGAAGAGGCTGTGAGCATGTTGTTGTAGCTTTGTCTGTGGGCTGTTTGCAAAAGCGGGGAATGTGCAGCCAAAAGCACTGAAATCTATGTTACAGCGCAGGAGCGTTTTCAGCGTAAACACATATCCACACCCACCTGAACTCAAACTTCACCCCTGTGTCTCAATGAAAGGTAGCGAGCAACTCACAATGATTTCGTTGAAGTCACCACCATAAGAGAACACACCCACACGTGTCACACACGCACACACACACGTCACACGTCTCACACGTCTCACACGTCTCACACGTCTCACACGTCTCACACAGACACACAGACATACAGACACACAGACACACAGCCACACAGACACACAGACACAGACACACACACACACACACTCACAACATGCTACAAATCGTGGTCATATACGAGGTTTGATTTGGGGCTGCTGACTTGGAAACTAGCACTGACCTGAAACTCGAATCAAGCAAAGTTGAGCAAGATCGAGCAAAACGTGGCAAACACAGCCTTCATCCAGGCGATCGAAATAAGGAGTCTTGGCGTTCAGGCGCGCACCAAAGGGCGCATGTGTCAACTGGCGCTTGCGCGCATCTTACCTCCCGCGCGAAAATATGCGCACCAGTCCAAACCTTTCTCTTTCTCAAACGCAGACTGTTGGGCAACCAAAAGGCGAACCTTTGGTGACCAAAAGGCGAGCCTTTGGCCTTTCTTTAGCGCCTCGAACCAAAAAGCAAGGCCTTTTCGGCACGACTAAAACTGTTGGCCAAATGCTCCAGGCAGTACCCATAGTGAAACCCGTTGATCCCTATAGACTTAGATACCAGGGGTCAAATTACACTCTCCGTAAAGCTGCTGCGTGCTGTGGACGAGTTTACAGAAGAGACATGCTGACAGTCTGCATGCGTTTCAACAGGTTCGAAGCCAATGCTGTTGACCATTCTTGCTGCTGACTGATGCTATTGCCGATGCTGTTGCTGATGCTGTTGGCAGGTGCAGTAAGTCAGAAAGCACGCCTCGCTTCAGGTACTGTGAACAACAAGCTCAAGCCCAAAGCCTACGTTCTGATTTCTATTCATGATAGGTGAGAGCGAGACAAAAGACTTAAGACATGCATCCAAGAAACACCCAGTCCGCCAGGCCCGCAAGAATCAGGCCGAAGTCAAACCAATTCGCCACATCCCTGCGCACAAGTCTGCACCCTGCTATTTAAGGGGCTGGAGAAAACAAAGGTGGATCCTGTAATGTGAAAAAAGCCCTGCACTAAGCTTGGCTTTGCCTTACAAACTGCCAGAGGTCCCTTCAGCATCTTGATGTTCTTGCATCCATCAGCAAAGGGGCACTGAATCCTGACACACTCCCCAGGTTCCTACCTTAACCTGCCATGGTCTCAATTCCACTAGCAAAACCACCGCAAAGGGGTCCTTTTGCACCCCACTAGAAGTGCCTAGCAGCTCGTGGGCCCCACGGCTCTTAACCTCGCGGAGGTCGATTGCCCCGGCCCTGCCTGAAGCCATCAGGCCAATCCAACCCGATACGGGCGAGCAGCTCGGCCGTGAAAATGAAGATGAAAACGTTGTCAACCACCTGCAGGGTTTCGGACCCCCAATCCTTTTGGGCTAAGTGGCCTTCGTCTGTTGGAAAGCTTGCGTTGCAAACATGATGTACCATTGGCCTTTTCACACTGCAAAGGCCTCAGTTGCTTGGTGCTTGGCTTCAAGGACCTACTTCGCAGGTGCCAAAAACCCATGAGATGATATGGGTTTGGTCCCCCCACCCCCCTTAAAAAAAAGAGACAAAAAAAGCAGGGGACCGCAGGTTTTAGTACTTGTTTCCATCTACCCGGGTTCCATGTTGGGTACCTATCTTGAACCCACAGCCATATGGTGTGACAACCTTTTCAACCGCCCTCACATGTTGCCGGTTCAATGTTGGCATTGCCATCTCAACAAAAAATAAAAAGAAGCGAAGCGCCCCCTTGTGACTCACCTCCCCGAGCAATAACTGCAGGGTTTTAGGTCAGGCAGGATAAACCCCTGGACATCCCAGAAATAGTAGTATTATGGACTCGTACAAAAAGAGTTGCATGGATGCTATCATTGCCTAGGGCAAGCCAAGCTTTGTAAGCTTGCTTGCCCTATGGATACCAGTCTGCCTTGCAATTCATTGCAATAGAGAAAGAACAGTAAAATCGCAGCACCTTTGGGGATAAGGACGGGATTGAAACCTTTTTGGCGCAACCCAGAGTTCTGGGAAGCAGAGCTCTGTCTCATCACAAGCTGTCTTCCGTGAAGTGCGGGCTTCTCAAATGCTGTGAACCCCAGCATGTTTACAAAGCTTAATCATTCCGGCTATGGTCACCCATATGCTGCCCATGCTTAGTCAGAAACCGGTGCCGGCAACGTGCTGTGTGAGGTGCAGCAAGGGTGCAGAGCAGTCGTTTGCTTGCCCAGTGCCAAACGTAGCACAAATACAAGCATGGCATAACCCACCGTACCTATTGCCACAAAGGGCATAGACGTTTTAGGGGCAGACTGTCTTCCGAACGAGAAACATGGCCAGAAAAGTGCCCCTGACCTGGTTTCATGTACGTACGTACGTACGTACGTACGTAGTATGCATGCACGCAAGTATGCGAGTATGTGAGTATGGGAGTACGTGATAAGTATGCGTAGGCATGTAAGTGTGTACGTTTGTCTGGGTCTTGTATGTCTCTCTGTCTGGATGGATGGATGCATGCATGCATCTGTGTATGTATGCGCGCATGCATGTATGTGTGTACATGTACGTATGCATGTATTGCACTGTATCGTATCGTACCGTATTCTGTTGTAGTGCATTGTATGCATTTGTAAGCGCACTGTATTGTACTTTCTTGTACGCTGCTGTATTGTGTTGCGGTGGGTGGGTGGGTGGGTGGGTGGGTGGGTGGGTGGGTGGGTGGGTGGGTGGGTGGGTGGGTGGGTGGGTGGGTGGGTGGGTGGGTGGGTGGGTGGCTGGCTGGCTGGCTGGGTGGGTGGGTGGGTGGGTGGGTGGGTGGGTGGGTGGTGGGTGGGTGGGTGGACGGGCGGGTGGGCGGGCGGGTGGGTTGGTATATATATATATATGTGTGTGTGTGTATGTGTGTATGCATGTGTGTATGTATGTGTGTGAATGCGTAGATGTCTGTATGTATGTGTGTGTATGTGTGTGTGAACGTGTGTTTATGAGAGTGGTGTGTATGCCTGTATGTGTGTATGTATGTATGTATGTAGGTAGGTAGGTAGGTAGGCACGCACGCACGCACGAACGAACGCACGCACGAACGCACGCAGGCAGGTACATACGTACGTACGTATGTATGTACGCGTGCATGCGTGCATGCGTGCGTTCCTGTGCGTGTGCGTGTGTGTGTGTGTGCTTTGTGCGAGTGTGCGAGTGTGCGAGTGTGCGAGTGTGCGTGTGCGCGTGTGCGTGTGCGTGTGTGCGTGTGCGTGCGCGTGCGCGTGCGCGTGCGCGTGCGCGTGCGCGTGCGCGTGCGCGTGCGCGTGCGCGTGCGCGTGCGCGTGCGCGAGCGCGTGCGCGTGCGCTGCGCGTGCGCGTGCGCGTGTGCGCGTGGCGCGCGCGTGCGTGCGCGTGCGTGCGCGTGCGCGGCGTGCGCGTGTGCGGGTGCGGGTGCGGGTGCGGGCGGGTGCGGGTGCGGGTGCGGGTGCGGGTGCGGGTGCGGGTGCGGGTGCGGGTGCGGGTGCGGGTGCGGGTGCGGGTGTGTGTGTGTGTGCGTGTGCGTGTGTGTGTGTCGGCATTTGTGTATGTGTGTGTACTGTGTGTGTACGAATGCATGCATATATGTATGTTTGTATTTACGTGCACAAACTATAACATGCGATTCCTCGCGTCTCCCCCTCAGACAGTGCCGGCCTTTTCAAACAAAAGATCTCCAACACTGGTGATTTTGTCATTGTTGAGCCTCAATAGCCCTGAAAGCTCCGTCGTAGAAATAGCAGCAGGCTCCTGCATCCCAGCTACTTCTGCTGATCTGTATTCAAAAAGCTTGAATCTTTGACTCAACCCCCCTCCCTCTCATTGAGGTGCTAATTCTGGTTCTCCCAAGCCATTTCTGCTGATGCTCCAAAAAGCTAAACACCAAGGTTTGAAAACATCTGCTTGGGCATGAGGCATGACTTCCCTCTGCTCCATCCCTGCCTGATTGAAATATCCATAGCTTCTCCAAGCCCAACAGCTTTTGCTGTTCGAAGTCGAGGTGGCAGCAACCAGGACCAAGAGATGCCGACAGATTTGAGAAACAATTAAAACTACTCCTCTCCTTCGGGATTTTGTGCACGCCTGGGGCCGATCAGCTTGCTATGATTTGCGCAGATTGTATGTAGTGGGCATTTGTTTGTGTGTGTATGTGCGTGCATGCGTCCACGCGTCCATGCGTGCGTGCGTGCATGCGCATGCCTTAGCATGCGCGCATGTCTAGATATGTTGACGCGTGTATTTGTGCATGTGCGTATGCGTGAGTGTGTGTATGTGCATGCGCATGCACGAAGAAGCGTATGAATGTATGATGTATGCAGGTATCAACATATGAATGCATGTATGCCTGCATGCATGTATGCGTGCATGTATGCGTACATGCGTCAACAATGACTGCATTCATGCATGAATGCACGTACGTGCATTCAAGCATCAATGCACCTATGCACGGTTGTTCGCTGTTGGTTTGTTTGTTTGTCTGGTTGTTTGTTTGTTTGGTTGTTTGTTTGTTTTGTTTGTTCGTTTGTTTGTTTGTTTGTTTGTTTGTTTGATTTGATTTGGTTTGGTTTGGTTTGGTTTTGTTTGGTCTGGTTTTGTTTGGTTTTGTTTGGTTTGGTTTGCTTGGTTTGGTTTGGTTTTGTTTGTTTGTTTGCTTGTTTGTTTGTTTGTTTGTTTGTTTGTGTGTGTTTGTTTTTTACGCATGCGTTTGTTTATTTGTTTGTTTGTTTGTTTCGTTGGTTGTTTGATTGTTTGTTTGATTGATTGTTTGTGTGTTTGTTTGTTCGCTTGATTGATTGATTGTTTTGTTTTTGTGTTTTTGTGTTGGTTTGTTTGTTTGTTTGGTTGGTTGTTTGTTGTTTGTTTGTTTGTTTGCTTGCTTGCTTGATTGATTGAGTGATTGATTGACTGTTTGGTTGTGTGGTTGTTTGCTTGTTTTGTTTTGTTTTGATTGATTGTTTTCTGTCAAACCATGCATGTACTTAGTTGCCTACAAACGTGTGTATGCATGCATCCACGTGATGCTCTGTAGCATGAGTAACGCAATGTGATGTAAACAAACCGGAATGCAATGCAATGGACCGTGATGCAATGTAACGTGCAGTGCTGCAATGTAAGGCAATGTGTTCGCGAATGTGCAACTGTGTGAATGTATGAATGTATGAATGTATGAATGCATGATGCAAGTATGAACATATATTGTACGAAGGCCGTTTCTCGGACGTATGCTCGCCGAGTTTCAAGTTTGATGCAGGAATTGCCTCACACACCTAACCAACCTGTTGGGGGCTGTCACGCCTGAAATTTGACGACTAGCGTGTCGAAGTCATTAGCTTCCTGCACCGTGCCCAGGCGCGCCCCCACAGCGCGGCCCTCCAATTCCAGCTCCACCATCCTGAGAGAGCAGGCACACTCACAGCATCGTGACATCAAGAGTAAAGGCCACGGGTAGTCCAGCGCCTTTGGCTGGTATGTGGAATTTGGCGGTGGGTCAAAAACAATGGGATCCCATTTTGGGTTCGGTGCACCACCCATTTTAGTCTATTTTAGTAGGATTGGGATGTTCACTGAGGGTACGGGACTTTGACCCATGGCCATTTAGGGAAAACGCAAACTCAAGCCCCAACTCGGCGGCAGCCCGCCAGTTTTTTCTGCAGGCGCGGGGCAGCAGAAGGCAGTTCAGCCCCACCATGCCTGCTGCCACAAAGTCCAGCACGCTCCTATGGAGTCTGGGCCGGGATTTGTTGGGTGCGTTGCATGTGTTGGCTTCTTCGGCGCGTGTCTAGGGTGTTGGTTGCTAGTTGTTAGGTTGTTTGCTGAGAAGGTTGGATGGTCGTTTGGCTGTGCCCGCTTGGGCTGGTTGTTCGTCCAGTTGCCGAGAAAACAGGAAGGTCGTTTGGCTAAGGCTATGTGCTTGGTTGTTGAGATGGCATGCAGCCAAATTCACGTACTCATCCCACTCATCAACGCCCATCCCACCTTCTCAGCAACCAACCTAGCCTCCACCCAACAACCAAACAACCAAGCACACAGCCAACGGCCATTCAGCCTGCCCAGCCACCAACCCGGAAACCAGCCTTCTCAAAACCAAGCCAGCCAAAAGGCCATTGAGCCTCCTCACAAAGGACCATACCGGCTCAGCAACCAACCGAACAACCAGCCTTCTCGGCGGGGACCTGGGAGCAAGCTGCATCACTGTTCCCTCAGAGGGCCGTCCCACACTGCGGGTCAAATATTGGATCCCCCCCCCCAATGGAACCCTGGCAAGTGGAAACATGGACCAAAACTTGTGGTCCCCTGGTGGTTTAACTTTGACCCATACCCACATGGCAACTCGCCCTTCCACAACGAAATCTCCTCATCTTCCTTCGCCAGAGCGCCGCGGCGGAGACGGAACGCCTAGGCGAGTGGCAAGGATGGGGAACTCGGGGTCGTGGGTCTGGGGACCCCTCCCCCATTGGAGGTTCAGTTGATAGCGGTGACAACGCCCGGCCGTACAGGAGGCTACAAGGACAAGATCTGTCATGGACTATCAAACGAGTATCACCGTGTTGCTGGTGGCAATGGGCAAAGCGCCCGTGGCTTGATGCCAACGAGTTATTTCTTTTCTTTCGCCTCGCACGACTGATGCTTTGGCTGCTACACCACCAACCACCGGGGCAAGCAGTGGCGTCAATGTGTCTGGAGATGAACCTGCCCTTCAACATGACTGCACAAAGCAAGCGAGTCCATAGCGATATTCGTCGAACATGCACAGAAATCGGACCCTCTAAGGGATGACGTCTTTTTTGATGAAAATGACAGGCTTGAGCCTGATCTGGACAAGCACTTGAAACGAGTCAAGTTGCCCAAAGTGGCAGAGTTGGCATCAGGAGCGCTATGTCACCCTACCCTTGATTTGGGTTTATGACCATGAGCTGGTGTCTCACACTCCTTCCAACTCGGCAGCACCCACAAACTCCCGCTTTCACCCGCAGGATCAAGCAAGGGTGGCTCATGCAAATGTGCGGCGCAACTAGGGGACCGTCGGCAGGGGTGGGAAGCATGTCCCATCCTCACGAATAAAGCCAAGCTCGCACCACCTATCAGACCAGATCAGACCAGGAATGTCCTGCAGCTTCCCTAATGTTTGGATTTGCTGGGTGAGGTCCGGGGTAGCTTCCCATCCACCTTCTACCAACCAGAGGCAGCCTCTCCCTCGTCGCCGAGAGGCTCCGTGAGGTGAAAGTCGGCTGGCTTCACACTCGTCCTCGGCTAAAAGGCGTTGGCCACTTTGCCTGCGGATCGAGGAGTTGAACGCAACCAGTTCAAGACAAGTGACATCCCAAGCTACTGATCCTGACTCTCTTTAAGTAGGGTGTCCAAATTGTCTGGCAAAATGGCGAACCTTCTTGGGTAGGTTCTGAGCGAAAGGATGCTGAATGCCTCCTGCCCAATCAAGCTGTTCAGACGTATCTCTGCCTTGGCAAACAGCGGCTAAGGCTAGTACAGTAAGTAGCATCCAGCAACGTGAGCGGTCCAAAAGCGAACTCCGGCTCACAAAGCGAAACCATGAGACCGCCAAGCCCAGCTCAACCACACAATCCACACACTCCCTCCCACCCCTCCGTCCCTCCCCGAAACCCAAGACAAAGCGCGAAATGGAGGCGGAGACCCGACAGGATGGCACTGGCAGGTGCATGGCTTCTTGCGATCCTGCGCAGAGTCAGGGCACAGGCTGCAGCGTTACTGAGGTGCACTCGACTTCCCTGTGCACCCAAAACTGTTGCTGGCGAAAGGAACCCTTCAACAATGATGTCCGCACCACATTGGGAGTTCATAATACAAGCTCATGCTACGCGCCAACCTCGCACCCTCCCGCAACACAGGCTCTTGCGCTGGCAAAGGGAAGAAACGTCGCCATGGCCAAGAATGGTTCATGGAAAAAAAACTCTCACCTGTCTTATATCCTCCTGTGTCCCAACACAGTGGGCCGTGCGAGGTGACAGCCCACTTTTTCCAAAACATGGCGATCTGATCTCAACGCTCACCGGATTACAGGCTTTGAGCCCACGGCTACGCTCGTTGATCTAAATGTTACATGTCTTGAAGATGTTGAAGCCACTTGCAGCAGTGGCAATGCACACGCTGGCAAGTTGAGGGTGCCACCGTAGCTCTTTCGGCTCCTTCTGGCCCTGGTGCAGGAACAGAAGCTGCGGAGGGAAGTGATCCGCGCCTTGCGGCGCCTCCCTGCCTGGCGCATCGTCCTCAACCGCCATGTCCCACAGCGAGACGGAATCGTCCGCGGAGGCCACGGCCAGGACGGTCTCATCCGTTGGATGCCAGTCCACCGACGTCACCGGCTGCCGATGCCAGAGAAAGTTGGCCATGGGCCCTGCGGCAGCATGCCGGGTGTCCCAGATCTTGAAGCCTCCATCATCGGCACCTGTGACAATGAGCTCCCCAACCATGGGGCTCCAACTGAGGACATTCACATCAGAGCCGCCATGCGCATCAGCCACCTTCATGGCTGGCTTCTTCCGCTCCTTCTCGCGAACATCCCAGACTTTGAGGCTGCCATCAGCGCTGCACGACGCGAAGGTAGACTGAGCGCTATTGCCCAGCTTCTTCCACTGCACATCCTCCACGGAGGACTTGTGTGCCTTGAAGGGCTCTGCCTGGATCTTCCAACCTCCCGGCGCTGGCTCCCAAAGCATCACCTGCGAGTCGTTGCTCCCGGAGAGGAAGCGCCCAGTCTCATGGGGGCTGAAGTCCATTGCAAAGCCCTCCTCGGTGTGGGACTCGTTGGTGAAGATGGGCTTCACCGGCGGCGCGGCGCCGCCTTTGTCCAAGGCCTTGCGATGCGCATCCAGGTTCCACATGTGCACCTTGCCGGTGTCCGCCCAGGTCGCCACAATGTGCCCTGCCTGCGGCATGGCGCGCACCCGGTTGACACCCCCAGGATGCGGGGTGGATTTGGACTCAAGCGCCGCCTCATGCTCATCCTCGCTCTCCTCCTCACTCTCTTCGTCATCCTCATCCTCTCTGCCATCCTTCGACGTCTTGTAGAGCTTGTGCCATTTCATCACATAGAGCCGGTTGTCCTCTGTGCGAGAAGCTTGAGACCCAGCTACCACATAAGCAGTCATGGGGTATGAGGCGCGCTGTGCGCCCAAGTCATCCCGCAGAACATCTAGCGACAGGCAGGGCCATTCCACCTGTGCGCGGTGAAGCATGTCGTAGGTCCCAGGCTCCACATCCAGCTGTTCACCATCCTCGATGGCGTCCACTCCTGGCCTCCAAATCATCTTCGCTCCTTCCTCCTCCTCCTCGTCGTTGGCCTCGGCTTCAGCATCGACAACCTCCTCCTCTTCTTCGGGCTCCTCGTGGCAGTCCTCCTCAAACTCAAGGACCGCATCCTCAACGTCTTGAGCAGACGCCTTCCTTTTCTTCACCATGTTGGGCTACTCAACCCTCTGGAGCCAATAGGGGGGAACCCTTTCTGCAAGGCCCGATGACCCACGAGGTGCAAACGCTGCCCAGATTGCCCTTCAAGAAAATTCGGGCAAAGAGCTTAGCATGCCTCAAAAAAACGGGGTACGAGCGCACTCAATGCAAGAAGGCCCTTCCTTTGCATCGCCGGGGATTTCTCTTTCTTTCCAACCATCAACTCGCTACAATACTCAATACCCTCCTGGTCCCGGTTTGGCTTCAAAATGGACCCTCTGGTAAATTCCATGTTGATGGAGAGGAGAATACTTGGGTGAGATTCGAGTTACCACAGTAGGCCAAACACCGGACATGCTCTCTGATCTCAGGGCCGCGCCTTCGGATGCAAAGCTCACTGTCTTCAAGGTGCCCGAGCTCTTGCTCTTTAGGGCCACATAGGAGCAGTGCTCAGCCTGGCGGCTTAGCGGAGGCAAGCAGCCAAGGCCCGAGATCCGTGACGAATCGTGGTAAGGGGGAGTGAGGCAAGAATGCCCCACACGCTTAGAACTACCCTCACTCGCAACAAATGGCCATGGCAGAACCTATGGCGATCCCATTTTGGGGTGGATGAACATCCTTTTGATTTCCACCTTTGATGTTCACCAGAAATAATTAGAGGGTTTTGACCACCACAGCCAAATCCCAAGACTTTTCAGCTCCTGGACGTCCGGCGACGGGCTTTGGCTCGGCTCACCGGTCTTCCAAGGGCTTTCTGGCACCGGGTCTGCGCTCTCGTCCAGCGGAACTGGGCGGGAGACCACTGCGCAGAGCTGCGCGCCTGGAGCCGAGCGACGGTACCCCCCTTCTTTGAGGCCATTTCAGTTGTGGGCCGCAAGAAGCTGGTGTGTCCCCATGCCTCAAAAGCGCTGGAAGACCGAAAGAGCCTTCCCAAATTGGGACACGTTGGCCCTGGAGACCCTGGAGCCTGGACAAACCTGCGAACGGAAACCGACCAACGCGCCCTCCTTTCGACTTCCATCGACAAGTCGTTTCGGGCCTGGGCCAGGCCAGGTCGCTGGCAGCTCTCTCCTGGATCGGAAGCCAAACCGACGAGGTGCCATCGCCAACACCCGGAACCCTTCCGGAAGCACAGCCCAAGGCCGCCCCGAACCACTCCGGAAGCCCAGCCTGGGCGTATCGACCCCAAAGCGTTCAGTTGGGGAAAAAAGGGGGAAAAAAAAAAGGAAAAAAAAACGAGTACACCCAACCCGAGGACCCACAGCGCGTCTGGTGATTTGCGCAAAGTGCCATGCTTGTTCGAAGTCTTAACCACCCTTGGCTCCCTTAAGCAACTTCAGGAGGTTTGTTGACAACTATTGGTTGCAGTAGTTGGCCATTGCGCTTGCGCGTTGGTTGGCGGCCATGTTGATGTGTTGGTGCAAGTACTTGTGTGTGTGTGTGTGTTTGCTTGTTCGTCTGATTGTCTGTCTGTATGCTTTATCTTATCCTGCCTTGCCTTGTCTTGCCTTTTGCTTGTTTGGTTGGTCGGTTGCTTGCTTGCTCGCTTGCTTGCTTGCTCTCTGTTATGATGCTGCTCAGCCGGCGCAAGGCCGCAACAGTGCCAGGCAGCGACTGCTCGCGGTGCACGAGGGCCGTGCTGAGCGTCCGGAGGGATCATCACACTTTCACTTGTATCTGTGAACAGGGATCCTTGCATTATACACCTGAACATGGCCTCGTAAATGGTGGCTTCCCTTCATTTTGGCGGACAAAGCCATGTTTCAAATGGTTGCAAGACGTATCGTTTAAGGAGCCCTGGTCAAGTGGGCAGAACAATGCGCTGCAATTGCAGGTGCCCGAAGCGCGGTGACAACTGCAGGCCCTCTCCTGGCATCTTGCAACTGGTCGCGATGATCCTCAGCGAACGGCTGATTAAGCAAGCCACTCGCTGTTCTGTAGCCTCTGCAGCCCGTCCGTGCCGCGCTACCGACAACAATCCAGCGGCCCGTGGAGCTTAGCGCCTTTCAAACAAGGCGACTTGGCATTCACCGTTTGATGAGGGCCTTCCATGGAGATCCCAAAGTCTTTGAAGTTTGGAGATGCGCTTTGGCAAGCCCGAAGCCGCGCGCAAGAAGGAACCAAAGGACAGCACTGAGATGCCCGGCTTGGATCAGGCCAACCAGCGCCGCGTGCTGCTCTGCAAGAAGTCCCAGGAGCTCTTCCAAAAAGCCCTCGCGGGGCCAAGAACCAATTTGAGCCCCAACCCAAGCCGAATGGATGTGACGGAAGGCAATCGAAGGATATCGAAGGCGTCTTGGACAGGGAAGCAGGGAAGGCACTTGACAACTCATGCCACAAACCAAGCACGAGTCCAAGCTTCAGAATGCGCCATGGCCCAGGTTCGATGTTAGTTGGAGATCGCAACGGCACTGTTCTATTGAACCCTGTGGTGAAAATAAAGAGTTAACGCTGCTCCCATGTTGCCATGGAACCCCCGCGTCTCCTTGCAACATGTGGCTCCGCAAGACTCGCACTTGGAGCTACTGTCAAGACATCTATCCTCAGCTTGGCCTCACCATGCTGTGTCAAACGGTGGCTTCAAGGGACCCTTTGCGAATTGGGTGTTGATGAATCGGGACACCCACGTTCAGTGCTAGCATGGTGGTCGATAGAAATTGTGTCAGCCTTGTCTGCAGACTTGTTTGGGTGGTCCAGGGGAAATCGTCCCCAACGGATTGGGGTATGAAGGTTGGATCTCTTGCAGCCTGACTTCGCCATTTAGCTCCACCACCTTTCATGTTGATGGTGGTTCAGGCGCCCAGGTATTGACTATGTGATCTTTCATGTTGTTGAGCCCACGCGTTCAATATGATCTCTGCTGTGGTGGATGGTTGCATGCACACGCATTTACAAATACGGCAATGCCCTTCATGTGCGGGCACGCGGCCCGGGCCTCATTTAGCTCCATGGAAGCTGCATGCGGCCAGGCTCAGGACTATCGGGCCGAACTTTTGGGCCGCTGCGGGACTTCTCTACCCAACTCACGGGGAAGGCTCCTGCTACATGCACTGCTTCAACTGTGCCTTTCATTAAACCAAAAACTCAACCGAAGGTTGTTTTAGAGAAAAAACCAACCCAATGTGGCTTGAACAAAAAACCATGGCGTTCCTTGGCTGAGACTTCCTCCATCCTTTGAGGGGCATGGAGGCATCAAGCAGACAATCACTTGCTTCTGCAAAGGTCGCACAAGATTTTAGAGTGCTCCATTCGGCGAGCCAGAACTTTTGGAATGGAGAAACCTTGGCCAGAGAAGAGGCCAAAACGGGATCCCCGTTTTGCATACAGAAAGCTCTCTCAATAGTTGGGCTATCGCAACTAAGCCCGGCCAGAAAGGCTGTGCCATTGAACTGCCATTGTATACCTTCAAAAGAAGCCCCTCAACACTTCATATGCAAGTGCACGTCAACTCCCACACTTCCAACATGAAATTAGACCATGGTTTTGATTGCGTTCTTTTTGTCGGGGGAAGAGGGGGATGTTGGTTCTCAATTCGGACATGATGGATCTTGATGCGGCAGGGTTTCCAATTGCCACACCTGGCGCCCTAAGCCCCAGAGGGTACCTTCTGACCATCTCACAGACCGCCGCTGCCTCAAGTCATCACAATGGAGATGGCCATCACTGCCCCCAAAGAGCAAATCACGATGTTGGCCATCATGAACATGGAAGGACAGCTTTGAAAAGCCAACGCGCTCACCTAACGCGTTTCCGGCTGACAAGAACGTTTGCTGCAAAAGACGGGAGCAAATATGTCCCGCCCCCTTCACAAGCAAGTTCACTTCGAACCGCGGATGTCTGAAGGCCGGTGAACAACTAGGGACATTCAGAAAAGCGACGTCCACCCTTTCTCCATGTTCCTTGCAAGGAGTGACATGGAGCCAAAGACATACAAGTGAACAGTTGGGGGTCCTCACATGGCTCTCATGGCCTTTGATGCGACTGTGAGGTCCTGGCCCTTCCTTTTGGGCACTGTGACAGCTTTCGGATCCCGGCAACCCGCAACCCGCCTGCATGTGTTTGGCCACGGGGTCGAAGGAATCCATGACCAGGCCAGCCACGAAGACATGCTCCACGCGGCCTCTTCAGGCTGGGTTTCCCAAACCCAGCCAAGGAAAAGCGGAACAAACATAGGTGTCCTTTTAGGGCACATAGATGGCCCTGGTAGATGATGAAACCACCAGGTAAACCAGGGCCATCTATTTTTCGACCAAAACAACCAAAAGGGACACCTATGGAAACAAAGAGGACCTGAGGCAGGAAAGGCCCCACCCCCACCCCCCACTCCCCAGCTTGGCCCACTTCCAAACCCCGACCCGAACAGCGCCTCCAACCTCTCGTTCCTGCATGAGGCACAGGTCTTCCTGGCAACCCAGGCATCCATACGTCGGGCCTCATGACTTCGTGCCAAGGTTCATCACATGGCTGGCGCTGCGGTTTTCTTCCGCAGTCAATGCTGACACCCTGAAAGCGAGCAGCGGCCAAAACTACTTGTCCAGCTCGAATTTCTCTCGCAGTCAGAGAGTGCTCTCGCCTTTGGGCTGGACCATCTCGCTTTTGGTTTGGTTGCTGGTCACGACTTTTAAGACGAAAGTCGCAACTTTACACTATCCCCCCCCCCCCTTTGCGGGCACAAAACCGTCAAAATCGCAATCTCACGCAGTGTGGGAAGAGCCCAAGAGCGCAGGCGATAAACCCACCTCACACCAGCAACCCCCCCCCATCCCCATCCGTCTCCCACATCCCCCCCATCCCACCCCCCCCCCATCCCCCACCCCCCCCATCCCCCCTATCCCCCCATCCCCCCCTTCCCACCCCCCCCCCCCATCCCACCCATCCCACCCATCCCAACCCCCCCCAGCCCCCCCAGCCCCCGGCTTGCGCTAAGCCTGGAGCAAAGAGCCCAGCAAGTCCAGCGGCTCCATGTCCACAGGCCACGCCAAACCTGCCGGAAAAAAAAAAAAAAAAAAAAAAAAAAAAAAAAACTTGTCCCGAGACCGGGGGCCCACCGGGGACTTCCTCGAACCTTAATTCCGCCCCAAAACCGCCCGCTCAAACCTCCACAAAAGACCATGCTCGAAATCAGAGGGGGAAGGCTTGACGCCATAGGTGTCCTGTAGCCATGTTGTTCCCTTCGACCTGAGGCAAGGATCCGTGGCATTTCCCGGCCTAGAGAGGCAGTGAAAACTGGAATCTTCCTAAAAACCTCTCTCCATGCACATCCTCATTGCATTCCCAGCTCGATTTCCGACCATTGCCATTCGGACCTCTGCCTGCAGCCTTTCATTGGCGACCTGCCCCGGTCCTTGCCAACAAAAGGCCCCAGAATCGCCTTTGAGCCGCATCCAGGCCAATGAGACCCCAAAACGTTGAGCTCACGCCTTTGCTAAGCGGCGAGCGCTTCTGGTCAGCCATTCATGATGCCTCAGCCTCATCCAGGGCTGAGGCAAAATTCCTGCTGAAACACTGGCAATAGTTTCACGGCGCTCTTGTTGTCACGAGTGGTCTTTGCCTTTATTTTTGGCTTTCGCGGTCTCGTGGCTTTGTGGCAAACTGCGCTTCGCAGCTGCAGCCTTGCGGGGCAAGGAAGCCTCTTTTGGTGGCTTTCCATAGCCTCACGACTTTTTCCTCCCCGAAGCCAACCCTGAACCTTCCTGCAAACCCACCCGAAACCAACCCTGAACCCACCCTGCATTAGCCCTAAAGCAATCCCAACCCCGCCCTAAACCAAAGCAAAATCAATATCCGTCCCCAAGCTTAGATTGATCAATCTGGTCAGTACACCTGAAGTCAAACGCCCAACTAACCTCGATCTTTGGACAAGGGGCCCGGGCATTGCCAAGATTCCAACCACAAAGGACGCAGTAAGGCCCCATGGTCGCGCGCAAAAGCCTCGCGCATGCCAAAGCAATTATCTGAGCGGGAACCGAGCTGCACAATGCATTGACGCGGGAACCTCCGAACGATACTGTAAACATTGAAGACGTCTTGTGCCTCAACAGGACGTCTTCAAGGCGTACAGTTCGCACCTGTGTAACACTCCAACTTCCAGCGCTTGCAACCAAAAATGCTTCAGCGTCTTCTCTTGCGCTTGCGATTTCCGGTCCAGCTTCCGCCCAAAACCAAAAAGCGACAGGAGTTCTTGGCCTCAACTCCGCTTTGGGACGACTGGCCTGCCTTCTGCGCGGCTGCGAAACCTCACTCGTAGCGTGTGGGACCCCGGGCGCGTGAAATCACGCCCGCAGACAGCCCCGGAGAGGCGCAATCTAGAGGCCCCAAACAAGGCTGCCATGGAGGAAAAATCCGTCGCCGGGCAAGAAGCTTTCAAGTTGCAAACGCGACAACGTGAATAGCCCTGCATGTTCAGATTGCCTTGCCCGGACGCCCTGAACAACTCCGAGCCACTGGGGAGCGGGCTCCGTCTGGCTCAGCTGAAACCGCTCTGGGCTCCTCCGTGCCTCGCAAGGCCCCCTTGGAACCGGCACCTATTGACCCTTTTTGGCGCTGGCTGAACTGGAGCTGGTTGTGTTTCGGGTTGCAAGTCTCCTTGGCCAATGGAAAAGGAGACAAAGATCCTTCTGAAGTAACTTTGGCAAAATGGTCCCGTTGCCTGGCATTTTGCACGATGAGAAATGTCTTTGATGTTAGTAAACATCCGAAAACCTCCAATGGCAAAGTACGCCCCCAGCAACAAGCACACGCACTGGCCCAAGCAAGATGCACCCCCCCCCCCTTGGCTGTACCCTTTGGAATTGAATTCGCGGCAACTTCAGGTCTACCGTCAGCGTCAGCGTCAGCGTCAGCGTCAGCGTCAGCGTCATCGTCGTCGTCGTCGTCGTCGTCGTCGTCGTCGTCGTCGTCGTCATCATCATCATCATCATCATCATCATCATCATCATCATCATCATCATCATCATCATCATCATCATCATCATCATCATCATCATCATCATCATCATCATCATCTGGGCTGGCGGGTCCGCAGAACGGATCATTTCCCCACTCAAAAGGGAACCACCCCTGAGTACGGTCCTCCGGATTAATCCGAAGACAGCTAGCCTCAGAGCCCCGACTGTGTGACTTCGAGTCTTTCCAAGTAGTCAGCCCACCGGCCCACACCTTTCGCCCCCAAAGCACAGCCTTTTTTCAAGTGCCAGGAACGTTGGGCTGGAAGCTTGGTGAGGATTTCGCGAGGGCCTCTCGCAGACTGAACTTGCTTGCCCCCCTTCAACCGCGACTTCGAGACAGCTGTAGTTTCGTGGGGTCTCAGGCGTGTCAAGGCACTTTTGGCCTGGCCGGTCCGGTTGAAGGTGGGTGCAGCCGGGGGCCCCTGATACCTGAGGTAGGAAACCTGCACATCTCCAGAATTCCACTGACACGGGAGGGGGCCTGCCGAGTCCCCGCCCAGCGGGGGGGCCCGGGGCCCGCCCCAAAAAGCAAACACCAGGGAATGCGCTTCGCTTGGCGAGCATGGCACAAGGCACCCCTTTTGCGGCGAAACTGCATGGTCTCACCGAAGTCTCAGGACAGCTGCTGGAATCAAATGGGGTCAGCTGGGCAGAAAAACGCTTGGGTTCTTCAGGCCTGTTGCAGCTCACTTGTAACAGTGATAACCAGCTCCATTCTACGACTTGCTCATCTCCTGCGTGGATTGGCCCAAAAAATGCCCAAACTGCTGATTTGAAGTTAAAATGATCTTCCCAAAAGTTTAAAAGTCCAAGAACTCGGGGAGTGAGCTTAGACCGCGACCAAGGCCCATGACTTCTTGTTTTTGTTGTTTGCTTCGAATGTCCCAAATGGACCGCCAGAATCCAGCAGCGGCGCAGTTGCATTCGCGGAGCGAGCCAAGAAACGGCAACCGGGCGAGGGCTTGAAAGAAGGTAATTCTGCTTCATGCGCGGACTGCCTGCCGCATGGGTATACCTTTTGCTAGGGGACCCCCCAAACTGAGGGTTTGCCTGTTGGTTTCCCTTTCAAGCCACAAACAAAAGGGCAGCCTCAAACCGGTTTAACACCACCATATACAACCCATATGCAAATATGCAGCATGTCCAACAAGTCCGGCGTTCAGCCAAGAACGCTCCAAAGACTCCAAAGAAACCTGCCCAACAATACGGCAAAGGCAATAGTGGCATCCTTCCCAGTCAAGGGCTGCAAGAAATCACGGGGAAAAGTCTGGAAGGGGGTTCAGGTTCACGGCGGGCGCTTTCTTCACGCCCTCAGCCTTTGTCCGAGATCGGCCCCTAAACAGTTGTTCTCCGAACCTGGTCGGATTTCTGAGACGCCGGGGAGATCCTCCGTATCCTGCCTGCGTCAAGCATAGAAAAGCCTTCAGTGGGAAGCTCAAGCGAAATTGAGAAAGAACGCAGAAGCTCAGGTTGACCATGGCCTGCCGAAGCATGAGTTGTTTAAGACTTTGTTGAGAGCCACGGCTGCCTACCATGATAAACACCATGCAATAAGCATGCGGACACTGCTCCGTCTTCCGGTCCTGCTTGAAAGGAGCCTGCTAAGCATAGATCTCTGATCAAGAAGGGCCTCTTCTCCACATGTGTTAAGCGCTCCATACCGACAAGCAATTGGCTGCCTGCCTGCTAATCTAAACTTTGAGGTGGCTCCGGCACATTTGCAGAAACAAGTTACTGTAGAGTCCGCCAAGCCATGGAAGAAGGTACGCCCACAATTGTCCTTGCGCATTACCTTTCCTTCGTCATGAGCCTATGAGCCTGAGGTCTCTTTACATGGTCTGCGGGGATAGCGCCAGGAGTGATGAGGCCAGGAATAATGAGGCCAGGAATAATTTCTGAACGGCCCTGTCGAAAGTTTCTAGTGTCAATCTTGGCGAAGGCTCTAAATCGATACGGGCGTGGTTGTGGGAAATAACCCCTTCTTTGACACCAAAGTGAGCCATGGCTAGTTTGTCACTTTGAAGGCAATCCTTCTGGTACCACAAGAAGGCGTCACAGAAAGTCTGCGGGATGGCCCCAGCGGAACAGTCTCTGGTGACACTAAGTTTGGGAGCGCTCAGAAAGCATCAGAGTTAGCCCCTTCTTCTGCGCGAACTTTGGCGTTTTGGTCTTGATGATGTCCGCGGCCCTGAGCGACCTGACACCCCAAGCCCAAGATCTGATCTTTGGCACGGGCCACAGACCCACCCACTGTCAGCCTGCCCCCCAGACATACAGACTCAGACACAGAGACGGACCCATACAGACCCAGACACACGCCCACACACACACACACACACGGACACACGAAGACACACACACACACAAAAACACAGACTACGCAAACGCACCAAGACATACACCGAGACATGCTGAGAAACACCCTTAAGCGCAAACACACACCGAGAGACACACACACACACACACACGAAGGCACGCAAAGACACTCGCAACACAAGCGCGAAGACTCCACACATAAACACACACAAACAAACAAACAAACAAACAAACAAAAAAACAAACAAGCAAACAAACAAAGAAACAAAGCAAACCGAATCAACAGAAAACAAAACACGACATAACTTGACACAAAACAACACAAAACGAAACCAGGCAAGAAAGCAAACCAAAGCAAACCAAAGCAAAGCAAACCAAGAAAGCACGCGAGCAAGCGCTTGGCAACTCTTGTGCCAAGGCTTCCTTAGTTTTCCCCTGTAAACATCACCCGAGGGGGCTCCAAATGCCCCCATTGAGCTTTAAGCTTGAAACCAACCACAAAAGCAAACTAAAACAAAAAGGGGAAATGCTATAGGGAGCCCTGTGCCTGACAGTTCATGAAGGCGTGCGGCCACTTGCCCCCACCACCAAAACATTGACGGGGCGGCAAGTTCGAAGCAGGGGCCCAGTTCAATGTAGGTGTTCACACATGTCGCTTGGATAACCTCTGCAACCCTCAGCAGGCAAAACTAGGGACATGGTTTCAAACTTGTGGAAGCAATTACAAGGCCAACTGCAATCAACAACAGCTGTGAGCACTGGGCCTGTAAGCTTTAGGTTGTTTCAACTCGCCACAATGGCCCAAAAGATGGAATTAACAAGGACTGAAATCCGTTGCTGGATATCCTTTGACAGACGAGTGGCTTGATCACTTTCGACAGCTTGGTGTCCAAGGCCTGGTTGCCAAGCAACCAGCTCGCCAGTATGGTGACGTGGTGACATGGTCACATGGTTCAACCAGGCTCAATCCACAAGAAAAAACCGCAGGCGGACCTCAGTCCTCGCCTTGAGGTCAGCTCGCATCGCCACCTGCTCAATGGCCCTGGCAGGCCCCTTGCAGCGCATGATGCCATCGATGAACTCGTCAAGAGTCACCTCCGAAAAAATGCGACGCCCACACCTCTCAATGTGGGGCAGGGCATCGGAAATGAAGGGGACAGACGCGGAGTGGCGGGGAAAACCAACAATCTGTTTCTTTCCACCTGGAGCTTGTTACGTGTTAGAATTCAAGGGCACGAGTCCCCATCTGTGAAAGATGGGAGCTTCATTCAATATTCCACTTTGTTGGGCAGGGAAGCCTTTTGGTAGCATGCTCGATCCTTG